TAACACAACATTGTAATTCAACTATACTTCAATAAAAAATAAATTTTAAAAAATTAATGCCAAACAAAAAATACTTCAGAGTATTGCTAGAGACAAATAAAAAAATACTTCACAATAATCAACCAGTTCAATAAGAGGATAAAATAATCCCACATGTGTATGCACCTAATAGAGAGCTTCAAAATTCAGGAAGCAGAAACTAACAGAACTGAAAGAAAAAATAGACAAATCCACAGTCACAGTTAAAGATTTCAAAACCCCTTACTCAACAGCAAGTAAACAAAAAATCAGAAGATATAGAAGATTTGAATGACTCTATAAACTACCGTAACTTAACTGATTAGAGTATACACTCAGCAAATACTGAATACACATTGTTTCAAGTGATGGAACAGTCACCAAAATAGACCAAATGATACACCATAAAAAAAAAAAAAAAAAAAAATGATACACCATAAAACAAGTCCCAACAGAGTTGAAAAAATTAAATTCTCACAGAGTGTATTCTCTGACCATGAAATAATTAATTAGAAGTAAACATTTAGACAAACTCCAAATACCTGGATATTAAATGACTCACTTCTGAACAACACATGGATGAAAGAAGAAATCACAATGGAAATTTTAGAAAATATTCTGACTTAACTGAAAATAAAAATACAACATATCAAAATCTGTGTCTAGCTAAAACAATGCAGAGTGGGAAATTTAGAGCTTTAAATGCTATTCTAAATAAGAAGAAAGTCTAAAACCAATGATCTAAGCACCTACATTAGAAAACTAGAGAAAGAGTAAATTAAACACAAAGTAGAAAAATTAGATTTCATTAAAATTTTAAACTTTTATTGTTCACAACACACTATAAAAAAATAAAGCAAGTCACAGAATAAGAGAAAATATTTGCACAAATATTTGACAAAGGACTTATATCCAGCATATGTATAAAGAACTCTTACAATGTAAAAATAAGAAGACAACTCAATTTAAAACTGAGTAAAATATCTAAAAAGACAGTTAACAAAAGAAGATACATGAATGGCCAGTACACACATAAACATCCTCCACAGCATTAGTCATTAAGAAATACAAATTAAAAATATAAACAGACTAAAAACATCCAAAATACAGCAAGGACGAGAAAACAACTATACGTTACTTATAAGAGACACACACATAAGAACACAGAAAACTTGAAAATAAAAGAATGGAGTAAGATATGACAGGCAAAAGAAAGCTGTCACGACAATACTAATAAAGGAAAAAGAGAACTTCAGGCAAGAAGCATTACTAGAGACAAAGAGGGATTACATATTGATAAAGGGATCAAGCTACCAGTAAACTCTAACAATCCTATATGAGTATGCTAAAAATAGTATAAAAATATAAAAAGTAAAAATTAATAGAACTAAAAGGAAAAACAGAAAAATTCAGAATCACGAGAGACTAACCTCTCTTGGTAACTAGAAAAAAAAAGCAGAGAAAAAAATTCAGCAAGGATATAGATGATCTGAAACAACAGATTTAACAAACTTGACAAAATGGACATACATAGAACACTGCACCCACAATGGCGGAATCCACTTTCAAGTGCATACCATTTTAACAAACTTGGTAACATGCTGAGCCATAAAGCAAAAATGAACAGATTTGAAAGAATTCACCATTCAGTATATTCTCCCATCAGACTGTAATTAAGCTAGACATCAAAAACAAAAGGTAAATGTTTAGAAATCAAGGAATGTTTAGAAACTAAGGAAACCAACAAATGTTCAGAAACTAAGGAATATACTTCTAAACGACCCATGGGTCAAAGAAGAAATTACAATGAAAACAAGAATATATTTTAAACTGAAGAAAACAAAAACATATCAACACTTGCAATATGACGAGATATTCTGAAAGAAAACGGCTAGGCATAAATGTATACATTAGAAAAGAAAATGACAAGTCAGTGACATAAAATCAATAAGTATCGATCTTAAGAAGTTAGGAAGAACAGCAGATAAAGCTCAAAGCAGAAGGAAATAATAAAGATAACAACAGTAACTGAAACAATAGAAAACAAACATAGAATAGAGAAAATAAGCAAAGCCAAAACATCTTTTTGAAAAGATTAATGAACGTAGTAAAATCTAGCAAAAAGACAAAGCATATATCACCAATACTAGGAACAAAGGGGACATTTTTTTTTTTTTTTTTTTTTTTTTTTTTGTGGTACGCAGGCCTCTCACTGTTGTGGCCTCTCCCGTTGCGGAGCACAGGCTCCGGACGCGCAGGCTCAGCGGCCATGGCTCACGGGCCCAGCCGCTCTGCGGCATGTGGGATCTTCCCAGACCGGGGCACGAACCCGTGTCCCCTGCATCCGCAGGCGGACTCTCAACCACTGCGCCACCAGGGAAGCCCAAGGGACATTTTTAAAATATATCTGTAGAATGCAGGAATCCTTGAGACATTAAAGATATAAGAAGGGTATATCAAAACAACTTTATACCAATAATACTGAAAGTTTAAACAAAACCTAAGTTCCTAGAAAAACAAAACTTATGAAAACTGATATAAAAATCTGAATAGTAGTTTTACATCTATTAAAGAGTAGTTCCACATCTATTGAATCCATAATTAAATACCCTTCCACAAAGAAATGTGTAGGCCCATATGGCTTTATCCAAACATTGAAAAAATAAATATCATTATTCTTACACAAACTCTTACAAAGAAGAAGGAACACTACCCAACGCATTTTATGAGATCAGCATAATGTTGATACCAAAACCTGACAAGACATTACAAGAAAATTCCAAGCCACTACCTCCTATGAACACAGAAACATTCTAAACTAAACATTAGCACACCAACTCCAGCAATACATTAAAAGGTTAATATAATTGACAAAATTGGTTTATCTCAAAAATAAAAAATTGTCATTTTTTAAACAAAAAAAATTATTGTAATTTGCCACATTAACAGATTAAAGGAGAAAAACTATAAAATCATCAATAAGTGCAGAAAAGCCATTTGAAAAACAATATTCATAATTTTTAAAAATCTCTTAGCATATTAGAAATAGATGGGAAACTCTTATCTGACAAAAGTCAGGTTTAAAAAAAGCTTACAACAAACATCAGAATTAATGGTGAAATATTGAATGCTTTTCCACTAAGATCATGAAGAAACAAAGGTGCCCACCATCAACACTGTGCTGAAGTTTCTGGCAATCAGGTTAAAAAAAAAAAAAAAAAAAAGGAAGTATACAGAATGGAAAGGAAGCAATAAAGCGGTCATTATTCCCAGACAACATAACTATGTATATGTAAAAATCTAAAAGAATCTACACACTATTAGAATTAAGTGAATTTATTTAGCAAGGTTACTGGATACAAAGTCAATGATAAAAACAAACTGTATTTCTATATATAGGCAAATTTGTTTTTTCAATGACATTGTTTATAAAATCAAAAATGTCAAACACTAAGCAATAAATCTAACAAAAGATGTATAAGTCCTACACACACAAAAAAATTTCAAAGCATCACTGAAAGAAATTAAAGAACATCTAAATAAGTGGACAAATATACCATCCATGGATTGGAAGACTCAATACTGTTGACACTAGTCAGCTGTCCCCATATTGATCTATATTCGATGCACACAATTCCCATGAAAATCCCAGGCATGTTTTTGTACAGGTATGTGATTTAACAAGCTGATTCTGAAATTCATATGAAAAAGCAAAGGACCAAGAATAGCCAAGTCAATACTGCAGAACAACATTGGAGGACAGAAATCAAGATATCAAGATATCAGATATCGAGACTTATTACACAGCTACAATGACAATGTGGTATTGGCTCAAAGATAAATAACAGGCCAATGGAATATAACAGGGAGTCCAGAAACAGACTTACATATAGCCTCCCACATTAGTGACAAAGAGACACTGAAGTATAGTGGAGAAAAGATAAACTCTTCAATAAATAGTGCTGAGTCTATTAGATATCCACATGGGAAAAAAATTATCTTGACCTCCTCCTTATATTTAACAAAACAATAAAACTTCTTGGAAATAAAACAGGAACAATTTACTGAAATAAGCAAAGATTTCTTAATCGGAACACAGAATGCACTTACCTAGAGGGAAAATTTCACAGACTGTAGTACATTAAAATTAGGAAATTCTTGACAGAGCCAATCTGTGGCCCATCGTTTGGGAACCTCTTAATCTATGAAGTCTGATAATTCACTTAATTCTACTTATGTAACATTCAAAGAACACTGCTTTTGTGAATGAGTAATATCTTGATTTATGAAATTAAATCCATAAAACTCATAATGAGAAATTCAGATAACAGTAATTTTCAATAGTTAAGACTTTTAATAACTACTGAAAACTCAACAAAGAATCAAAAACAATTTGAATTTAATATGTGAAGTGGCATTGCTTTCATTCATTTTTAAAAATACAGTTTTACTTTTAATGTTAAATCCTACTAATAATATGCAGTTATCACAGGTGATTAAACACAGCAGCCAGGCATGAAGTGCCCTGTTAGGTAGATATGAACAAAGCCAACATAAACCAGAGTAAAGGCCCAGAGCTGCTCTCTGTGGCTAGCAAAAATAAGCCATCTGCTGCAACAAAAATAATCTGAAAGATACAGAGTAATAAGCCTGCTCTTCTATCGTTTATTTAAATGGTGAAAATTCAGGTTACTTAGCCAAGAATACAGCTACAGTAAGGTAAACGTTTCTCCAAGTGGGGAAAAACAGCTACACATCATCTTACTTACTCAAAAAGACTCCTTAGATCAGCAAACTAAGGGAAAGGAATAAAATAAAGATAGCAATAGCTTCCAGAGGGCACAGACTTAAAAAGGTATTAATGAAAAATATATATAGCCCAACTTTCATTCTATGCCCATGCCAAACCTCATTAAGATGATACACATTTACCTTTTAGTATGTGAAGGACCCTGTGTATTCTCAACTACTAAATATTTTACCTTTGCAGCAAGTTGTAGTCCAATTTTGTCAGCTTCAGCCTCCAGTGTTCTACTATATGGTCTATCAAACATAAACTATGAAGAAATAAGAAAGAAAAGTTCCATTAAGGCTATTTCATAACAAAAGGAGCAAAACATGAGATTTTAAAAATTAATTTCATGGAGTACCTAGGATATAGCTTTTATGCTCTCCATGATTAACATTTAAAGAACACCATGGTATAAAACAAAGTGCAGCCTTTATTTCCTCCATCAGAGATTTTCTTTTTTTTTTTTTTTTGCGGTACGCAGGCCTCTTACTGCTGTGGCCTCTCCCGTTGCAGAGCACAGGCTCCGGACGCGCAGGCTCAGCTCAGCTAGGCTCACGGGCCCAGCCGCTCCGCGGCATGTGGGATCTTCCCGGACCGGGGCACGAACCCATGTCCCCTACATCGGCAGGCGGACTCTCAACCACCGCGCCACCAGGGAAGCCCAGAGATTAATATTTTTAAAACCTGGAAAGAATAGGAAAAAACCATGCCTGCAAACGCCTGGAGAGTCCACAGTATCATATAGTAGACTTATATTTTTCCAATTATAATCTCTACTTACTACGTAGAGGATTCCCTAAGAAAGCTTATTGATGCAGGATTTTTAATATGACCAAGTTACATTGTGATCTTGCAGTTTTAAAAGAAAATTGAAAAACTATAGCTATATAATAGCCAGTGACACTGCTAGAGGATTTATTTCAGTTAGAAAATTAACCATATAGCAGAATGTTCTTTCTTTGACATATTATCTTAATTTCCTCTTTGTTTTCTAAGTATCGATTAGTTAGGAAAATGAACTTTTCTTCCAACTTCAATAAAAGAATACAAATAGATATTATAACTGTAATTTTCCTAATTACTTGTATTTATGTGAATGCTTTCCAGTTAAATACTAATTTTCAGTAAGTACTAAAACTTTGTAGAAGATGGATCAATAGGCAGGATTTTTGAGAGAAGAGCTATTAACTGGGGAAGCAATTTTTCAGAGGTAGCTGCATGTCAGTGATGGCTAGAAATAGTAAAATCAATCTAATCCATTGTATATGACCATTAGATATGACTTGCTTCCTTCTCGATTATGTCTGTTTTAGGTTGCTGAACTATATTATATAGTGTCTGCACTTTCCATAAGCAGTCTGCAGGTGTCCCAATGAATCTGCCGGTAGTATAACCAATTAAAAACATTGGCTTTAAAAGGAAAGAAACGTGTTCAAGGCCAAATCCTGATGTGTATTAACTATTAGTTCTGGGCTAATTTTTTAACGCCTCTAAGCCCAATAGCATCATATGTAAAATGGAGCAGTAATAGTACCAAACTCCTAGAGTTGCAGAGGATAAAATGAGCAAATAATAATAATAATAATAATAATAATAACTCCCATTTTTTGAGTCCTTACTTGGTACCAGGTACTGTGCTAAATGCTTTCGATCAGTGGTTCTCAACTGGATGTGATATTGTCCCTCAGGGACATTTGGAAATGTCTGGAGATATTTTTGATTGTCACAACTGGGGATGGGAAGAGAGGGGGGAGTGCTACTGGCATCTAGTGGGGAGAGGCCAGATGTGTAGAGGCATCTAGACGTGTAGAAGCCACTGAACATTCTGCAATGCAGAGGACAATTCCCCACAACAAAGAATTATCTTGTCAATTCTTTGTAAATTCAAAATGTCAATAGTGCCTATATTGAGAAATGCCGCTTTAAATGTATAATTAAACCCGCAATAATGTTTGAGTTAGCCACTACTATTATCCAAACTTACAGATAAAGAAACTGAAACCTATAATAAGTGAAGTAACCTGCTGAAGTTCTATAAAATTTAGGTCTAACAGAGATTAAATTCAAACACAGATCCATCTGATCAGAGCCTGTATTCTTAACCCCTGTACAAAATTAATCTACAGTGTTTATCCTAGTGCCTACAATACAGTAAGTACTCAATAAATGTTAGCTACTATAATCATTATTAATAGCTCTCAAAACCCTACCTGGTAGCGCTCTATGAGGGCTGCTACATTGTACCCAGACAGTTAAGTGAGGGCCCCCTACTTCTTCCTTCCTCTCTTCCTTTCTCTGACAAAAAAATGTCAGCAATTCGCCCTCAAGAACTTCACTATCAGCATTCCCCTCTGCTCTCCAATCACAATGAGCAAGCTTCTAGAGAAAGAAATATTTCCTTGTCACCAAAATTACTGGGAGGGGGTCCTGATTTAGGGAAAAAGAGTTCAAACAGAAGTAATCCTTACTTCATGTTCAGTTTAATTATTAAACAATTATACTCAAATAGCAGGACCATCAAGTATTTCAAGGGAGAAACAGCTTCCAGTTATCTTTCTTATGACTTGATCTCCTGATTCCATTACAGAAAAATCTATTTATTGATAAATGGGGGGAAAACTACATTACCTTCTTTGACTTCCTAGCACATCAATGATAAAAATAAAATTCAAAATATGAGATTCTATAATCTAAGCAATAACCATTCTTTCTTTTTCCGTTTAAGAACCTTTATTTCAATATAAATGAAACCAAATGATATGCTAACACTGAATAAAAGACTTAGTTATTCAATTTCTAAAGCAATTTGTCTCAAAGAATTTTACACATTGGATTTAAACAGCACCCAGATGGCACTCTGATGGGTGCTCCACAAATCACTGAATAAACAAATAACAGATTGTTCCTAAATAACCAAACCTCCCAGGACAAGAAGAAATATCTGATGAAAGACATAAAATAAAATAGCTAATCATAGTTAAACAAAGCAAATATTAAGACTGCAAGACCTCCTTTCAGTAGTGTACTGTTTTGAACAAGATGGAGGACTCAACAAATTTTATCGGATGACTATCATTATGCGTAAGTACTAAAAACAAAAGTTAACAAACACCTATTAAGACTGTCCTTTCAGTATTTTCCAGGCAACATTAATTTAACTGGGAGTGAGGAGATGAGGGTAGTCAAGCAGCTTCTGCCAACCCTGTACCCATAAAAGTTTACAGGTTTTAAGAGTTCCCCATTAAAATGCAAATATTTGGGGGAAGGGAGAGTCATCCAGTGAGTACACCACTGTTACTAGGAGACAAAAGGGGAACGTCTGAAGGTAAAGCAACGGAAGGAAAGAAAGGGTTGTGACTGGGTTTCTCTCTGTAAGAACAATAACTATGCAAAAAAAAAAAAAAAAAGCTAGCCAAAAGTTGCCAAGCCCTTCTAACCCATCTGTCTCTATCATATAAGAGATGTAATATTTTCTAATTTGAATGCTCACTATTAAGAATATCCCCTAAGGGCTTCCCTGGTGGTGCGGTGGTTAACAATCTGACTGCCAATGCAGGGGACACGGGTTCAAGCCCTGGTCCAGGAAGATCCCACGTGCCGCGGAGCAACTAAGCCCGTGCGCCACAACTACCGAGACTGCACTCCAGAGCCCGCGAGCCACATCTACTGAAGCCTGCGCGCCTAGAGCCCGTAGTCCACAAGAGAAGCCACCACAATGAGAAGCCCACGCACCGCAATGAAGAGTAGCCTCCACTCGCCGCAACCAGAGAAAAGCCTGTGCGCAGCAATGAAGACCCGATGCAGCCAGAAACAATAAATAAATTAAATTTAAAAAAAAAAAAGAATATCCCCTAAAAATAAGAAGACGTAAGACACTAAAAATTAGCACCCGTTTTTCATGGTAAGACTCATGATAAGGTATGAAAACATTTCTGATACTTTTTCCTTTACAGTAAAACGTCCTCACCACAGGCCATTGCAAATTCAACTTACTGTTTCAGACTTACCTCCTGCAATTTAGACTGAATCCACTGGCCCAAAAGTGCCAAACTATCTCGAGGACAAATGGCCCAAATCATTGTGAGAAAAATCAGACCTAGGAAATCCAGGAAATGAACCAAGCTAGCCTTTTCTGCCTGAGAAAAATCAAAATAATGAAAATTATACTTAATAAATTCAGATAGTACATGCTAACATTTTCTAGTTCATCGTGTGTAATCACATTAAATAATTACATGTGTTTAGCTGAACTTCACCAAGTAAGACTGCAAATTCTTTTTCTTCTGTGTGCTTTATCCTTTCCCAGTCTGTTTTTCCCATCTCTTGTGTACATACTTACGCATTCATTTATTCATTCAACTAATATCTACTTGAGCCACTACCACCATTCAGATACAATGACAGGTTCATTAACCTACAGTGTCTTATATTAACAAGCATAATAATCTTGTAAAATAGGTAAAATTGTTCCCTATTTTATAGATAAACTAAGATGAAGAGAGATTAAAAGAGTTGCCCAAATTCAAAAAGCAATTAGTAAAAGAACAAGGAATCAAACCCAGGAAGTTATAGTTTCTAATACAGTCACTAAATCTTTTTAAAAACTCAAATAAATATGTTTATTATGCTTATACTTTTAGACAGAGACCAAACACTACCTAACATATGAAGCAGTTAAAACAAGGAACAATTCAGGAAAATATTAGAAATTTATTTTTTAAATAAAAGTCTTTTGACTTCATGACCTAATATGTGAAGAGTCATGCAAGTCTGCAACTTTATCAGCCTGGTATTTCCCACCAGGAAATTTAGTTATATGATTTTTTGTATTTACTTATAGCAGTAACCAAAAAATGTTTTACTTAAAATAGTTGTTTGGAGTAGTAATATCTAAATATAAGTTTAATGCACTGGACTGTTCATTGTTCCTCACTAAAGTTGCTGAATAAATGTTATTGTAGTGCTGATACTGATAATATAGGAATCATTACTTGAATGTATGAAACATGGCTAACAACTAAAAATAATCACCTAGAATACTTCTGAATATAATCTGCCCTCACAAAGCATTCTTTGCTTCATTATAAGACTCATGAAAAACAATTATGGAATTATTTTAGCACTAAATGATGAAGTCATTATAGAAGAGAAAATCCTTGTAATTAATTATTAAAGAATATAATTGTTATTACATAATCTTAGAAAACTAAACATTTTTTTAAATTTGTATTTGTGAAATAATGAAAACAACATAAAATGGAGACTCCTAAAAGAGAAAACATAGTATTGACAGTGTCTAAGCCCTCTAACAAAGAAATATTAATAACTATTTCCTATTTTTAAAACCATTTGCTTTTTACGTCTCGTCTAATTATTGCTCTTGCACTGATAGAGATGACAACATTATGCTGAACAAGGCACTGACCCAGATGCCAGAAAAATTAATGTGCTGAAATGAACACCTTTTAAAAACTAAAAATGGCCAAAATTGATTGATTTTGCAGTTATAAAGCCATTTCTAGAAAGATATAACGTATTTCAACTGCTTAGATTTATTCTTGTATGTATCCGTTTAAGGAAGAAATTTTTTTCTATTTTCCTGTAACTCAGAAGAAATAAAGGAGATAATTACTATTTGCGCTCTAGAATAGCACAACTTTGGCCCACCTCATCTTATTGATACTCTAAGGAAAAGACAGAATTTGAGATGACATTTAGAGGGATTAATAACATTATCATTTCCACTTGCATTTCTGATATATTCACAATCCTGCCACTATTTACCTTTGTGTTTTCAATTAAAAAAATATACCTCTCTCTAATCATGTAAACAAATGGGCCATGCACAATTTTTAATGAATAAAAATAAAAATATGAGTAAACAAATAGATTATTTTTCTAGATTCACACCAAGTCAAACAGATGTATATTCACAAGGGTATAAATCTACCTGAATTCTATGATCTATGAGAAAAGTGCTGCCAACAGCCGGGTAACTGTGGGAAAAGGAAGCAGTGCCAGACTTGCAAACAGAAAACGTTGATTAAGGTTCCAATTCAGCCAGTTTGTCACATTAGTCATGTTATTTAGGGTCTTTTTAAACATTAGAGACCTCGAATATAATATAGCAGCAGTCCCCAACCTTTTTGGCCCCAGGGACCGGTTTCATGAAAAACAATTTTTCCACGGACAGGGTCGTGGGGGACATGGTTCAGGGGGGTAATGCGAGCGATGGGGAGCGACAGATGAAACTTCGCTCACCCGCCTACCGCTCACCTCCTGCTGTGCAGCCCAGTACCAGTCGACGGCCCGGGGTTTGAGGACCCCTGTAATATAGGGATACTAAATACCTACCTCATGAGGATAGTATTAAAATTATGAATGAGAAGGTATTAAAAAACTCAGTAAACTGTAAAATGGCAAGGTATCATTATTATTACTCTACATTAATTATACATGGCATATCATTCTAGGCATTTTCAAAGATGCTCTAACCTATCCTCTGAGAATGAATAAAAAAGTAAGAAAACATTTACCACTTGAATAGTAATATCACTTTCCTATAGCTGATTTGCTGACTAGATTCTAAGTATGTTAATAATTATGGAAAGTTTAAAATCTAATTTGAAATAATTACAGGTTGAGAATAATCACTTCTTAGCAAAAAAGACAGATGATAAAAATAGTATTTAATAGAAACACTAATTATTCAGTATCAAACACTAAAGATGATAAAAATTCTCAAAATTAGCCAATCATACTTTCTCAGGTAACAGAATAAGTCAATTATTAAAAACTAAAATTCCATCATAAAAAATAACTGAAAAGATTCAGTTCTCTAAAAGATTTAACTTGCTAATTTCAAAGGAGTGTTTCAACAACTGAACATTCATTTTAGGTACTTACGGCATGCTCAAGTACTGCATGAGCTATTTCATGGCCCAGAAGGAAGGAGAGCTGATGAATATCAGTCACACTATTTAAAAGCCCAGTGAAGATAAACACTTGTCCGTTCTGCACCATGATGAAAATAATGTAAGGAATTAGAACAACATAAAAAACAAGGACGTTAAATTTAACAATTAAAAATTAGGCTGGGTAACATTTACATACTGGAAGCACAAAGGCATTTGTATCTGGGGAATCAACCACGTGAATTATCCAATTGATCTCAGAGATCCCTGGAATATCTTTATTGCATTCAATTAAATGATGAACCACTTCTTTAACAGCCACGTATCGGGTGTCTTTCTCAGTTAGCATATCATTTTTAAATTCTTCCATCCACTGAAAGATTAAAAAGAAAAGTAGTCTCTAAGAGAGTGTTAGCTCTACAAAATGTTTATATTGCTTTAAGGAGTGTTATATGGCACTTACTGTTGAATGCTTTAATTTTTAAATATGTAAAAATATGCACATATTAAATACTCAAAAAATTTCAAATTTGAATTATTTATGCAAAGGCAATATGGTTTCTCACAAAGAGAATAAATTCTAATAACTAAGATTTTTCATATAAATTGGTTGAAATAAAAATTCACTCATCTTTTCTATTAGCCTATAAACAAATAAAATGCTTAAGTATTATTTCTAATTTCCTAAATATTTTAGAAAACAAAACATTGCCTGGAGAACAGAAAGATTTCATATAAGAAAGTAAAATACAAAAGAAAATTACTTTCATAACAAACTGAATAGAAAAACACCCTATACTTATTAAGAAAGTTAAACTTCTGCCAAAAAAGGACACTTCATTAATTTTAAAGTGTTTTAGCCAGATAGATTGAAATTACTAAACTTTTAGAACTAATGGGCATATCATTTTCCCCATATTATGCTAATTAAGACTAACCACCATATGAAGACACTTTTTCTGAAGCTATATTCATGAGACTCTTTCAAGTGTACTTCGAAAAGTGAGGATGTTCTTAAAATATTAAATTTCCATAAAATATATAATTTCTTTCATATATGAATCAAGAAGTCCGTAACCTTCCTCCTTGAGATGCATTAAAAACATGATTTTATAGAATATGAATTTGAAAGTCTTTATATAGCATTTTTTAAAAGCACAAGTCACCAAACTGTCTGAAACAAAGAAAAACAATGAAGTAGATACAACAAACAAAATTATATGTAATTACAGTACTTTATAATAATCCCATAAGAGCATGTGTTTGAATTTTCATAACAAGCAGGTATTACATTTGTAGGCTAAAAAATAAGAAAAAAATATATGTACATGTATATAATTTTTTAAAGCTTCTTAGTGATATAAATGGTAGAAGATAACACTAATTTAACACTAGGCCTTTCTCAATCTTAACAGAACACTTTCCTCAAACTTGCTTCTAACTAGACTATTCTAAGAAACATCTCAAATCTCTGTATAAACTGTATAGAAGAGATTGGTCTTATCTTTATTAAGAACAATCTTTTTAGTGAAAAACCATTATTATTTCCTTTTTTATGGTAACTTTCCATTAACAAACTCAGAAGCTCAATTGAAATAAAAATATATAAAAATCTAACCATGACAAAGCTGTCAAGTGAGGTTATAAATTCAACAAATATTAATTGAGCATATACAGGCACACCTCAGAGACACTGTGGGTTCAATTCCAGTTCTCGATATCTTTAATGAGATATTCACCACAAAGTGAATATCTTAATAAAGTGAGTCACATGAATTTTTGGTTTCCCAGTGCATATTGTGTGCAACAGCATTATGTCTAAAAAAAACAATGTACATACCTTAAAGAACACCTTATAGCTAAAAAATGCTAACCATCATCTAAGCCTTGAGCAAGTCATAATCTTTTTTGCCTAACAAATACAGTAATAATGAAAAGGCTTGAAATATTGCAAGAATTACCGAAAAGTGACATAGAGATACGAAGTAAGCAAATGCTGTTGGAAAAATGGCACCGATAGACTTGCTTGACACAGTGTTGCCACAAACCTCCAATTTTTAAAAATGCTGCATCTGCAAAGCGTAATAAAGCAAAGAACAATAAGATGAGGTTTGTCTATACTGTTTATGTGCCAAGCATGAGAGAGAGAAAGATGATCCGTCCGCAAGGAACTCACTAGTGGTATAAAATGTTTAACTACTTGAGTGACTATACTTTCCAAGGAGGTTAAGACTTCTGAATTCCAACTTTATTTTGCATTCAAAAAATATAATAAATAGCCAAAATTGATGTGCGGGGGGGAGGGAATATCTTATTCTACTTTATTTTCAAGGTACAAAAATTCAAATTATAGATCTATTTATTCAAAAAATATATACTAAGCACTACTTTGTACACTGTGCCAGTACTTAAGATGAAATGATAAACAGAATAGACAGGGTCTCTGACCCCCTGGAGCTAGTTTAGAAAGGGAGACAGATCAACAAATAAATAATTATGCAAATAATTATGGTGTTACCCTCACGATAAGTGTTTTAAAAGAAAAGGACAGTATGCAAAGAGAAAAGTAGGAGACCTAGCCCCAATATAGCCAAGCACAGAGCATAGCTACAAACGACTAATTCATAACGCAGTCTGTATGAAGGATACCCACTAGAGCCTAACGTAGCCACCCTGCCTAACCCAGTCAGGATAATCAAGGAAGGCTTTCCTGAGAAAGTGACATTTAAGGTGACATGTGATGAACAGGAGTTAGCTGGGTGATCCAGAGGAAATGCAATGTAGGCAGTAGGAATACTAAGCATGAAAGGTCTGAGGCCTTTTGGAAAAAATGCTAATTTGCTATCAGAGATTAAATTAAAAACTAGTGCATCTTTCATATTTAAGAAACTTTCCTCCTTTGAGTATTACATCAAGCAATGTAGTTAAAAACAAGTCTTTCTACTTACTGCTTCATATTCCAGTTCTGATAAAAGTCTGAAATGTTCTTTCCCCAGTAATAGAAGCTTGCTCCTTCCTGTGATTGGACTCACTTCTAGGTGTGTAAAATAAAATACTACAAAAAGCAATCCAAAACTACTCAAACCAAGGAATAACTTCCATTTATTCTTCCTTACACTTTCTTTAAATAGTTCCTTCTTGTTAGGAGGAAGTGCCTGCCACCATTTCCTTATGCCCCTGGAGCAAAAAGAAAAATTCAAAGTTCTGATAATAGAATCAGTACATATCATCAACATTTCATGCTTATGCTAAAATTCTGTCATCAAATACTCGAATTTTTATATTTTTCTGTATAGATGGTTTTTTCAATTTTTAAAAATTCTTAGCTAAATGATGAAAATGTAATCAATTATATGGAGCTATAGTTAAAAATTCTAATGCTCATTTGAATTTTCTTCAGTTATTTTAAAGGTAAACGCTAAATGAGAAGCTGTTCTACTAGAACTACCATTAACATTTATTGACTGTTCAGCACATTCAAGGTACTCTTCTAATGCTATATGTATATCACCTCATTTAATCTTCATAATAATCCTGTTACAGAAGAGAAAATTGAGACTTAAGAGACATTAAACAATTTATACAAGGTTGTAGAGTTAATAAGAGGAAAATGAGGCAAGGAAGGCAATATAATAGGGATGAATTGCCCAGATAAACATCTGAAGGCGTTATGGTACAACAAATCTACACCTTTAACCACCACTGCCCCCACTGCTCGTCAGACACCTGACACAATCTGCCAGTACTTCAGTAAGGTACGAGGGAAACCATCTTAGCACCGATTTTAGAAACAAATATTGCTCAGTAGCAGAAACTCTACTAACCCCTCAAGAACATGACAAAGGAGAGGTAATAAAAAGAGCATAAGCACTGTAAATACGGAAATGAGAGATTTTATAGATAACATCTGGGGAGGTGCAATTCTACCAGGCAACAATATACTCTCTGCTGCTTATTAGGTTCATGGACATTTTGACAACCAGTAATGTTTTCAGTGCTGGAACAGAACTTTTTCCCTATGAGTTCATCTGTGAAATTACAACAAGAATTTAAAATATATACATCATTCTCTTGACAAAATTTATTTTATAAAATAACTTCTTTGAGTTATCTTAATCTTGTTAAGTGACACACCTAAAATGCCTTTAAAGTGTTTCAACCTAAAAAGATTCAGATCAAACTATGAAGTATACTTATTTCCAATTTAAAAGTTTAAGACGTTATCATTTAAAATGTATGAAAACATATCCTAAAATAAAATTTTAGGTGATTTACAATAGTAATATCAACAAAAGGTTAAAAATAAATAATTAATTTAAAAGGATGAAAAAGAGTTATTGGCCCAAGAACTTGGGCTGAGTTGTGACGAAGATTCTCTCCTACCCCGAACTCTACTCAGACTCCCCTGAACTCTTTTTCAAATAGGCCTTGTCTTTTGGACTACTCTGTTCATCTCTGCATTGTCCAATTTTAGCAAGAATCCTGCTAGGTCAATTAAGTCAGAACCCCTCATCCTCCATATGGGATCACAATACCCAATCTGTCCTTATCATTCATCATCCCCCAGGTGATATCTGATCACCCTCACCTGCCTTCAGCAATAACTCTAGGAGGTCAGTTCTGGTGGAATCCCCCCCTTGCTCCTGATGTTTCCTCTCTGTAGTTTTCCATCTACCAACCCCCGCCCTGCCCACACAGCCCATGGTGTATTCAGAGCTGACTCTGGTTCTATGCAGAAGTTTTCTCCTACTGCAGAAGTTCTGAAGAAAATCTGTTTTTACTTCTTTAACTATTGTCTAGCTCTGGCTTTCTTTGATAGTCCTTACTTAAATTGAGAGCTAAATTAGCTGCATATTTTTCTGAGTGCCAAAGCCTAGTCATAAAGAACACAATAAATTACAGAGTACAGGTCCTTGATTTTTGATAAAAAGAAAACTGGGTTGGTTAGTATGGAAGTAAGGCTAGAAGGCACTTCATAGTTATCAAACATAAGAAAAGTTTATAAGGAGACAATACTTAACTTTACCTTTCTTCAATCTTCATGGAGCAAATAAGAGAAAACAGAATTATGAGGGGGAGTTTTAAATGAAATATGAAGTATTACTTAGCTGAAAAAAAAAAACATTAAGTATTATAAAGGATCACAAAGAGAAAATAAAGATTTGTCGGAAACTGAATAGAAAAATAAATAAATAATAAATACTAATTAAGAGTTAACGTGGCTAGGAATGAGCCCTTTCTGAAGTAAGCAAAGTTCTTCAGTTTCATGATCCATTGTCTCAAATTCCATGAACTAAAAAGGAATGCTTGTAAGTACAGTTCTTATACGTGAGTTGTAACAAACATTTCTGATTCTTGTAATCATAAATATAAGACCTTTTAAATAGTGTCTATATAAAATATACAAGAATAATTTTTAAAGATCACATTTCTGTACTATAATATGCAATAAATGATTTTAAGATTATTAAGGCATCCATAAAAAAACTGAGTAGGGCCAACTGTTTAGAAACTGAATTCTGAGCTAATTATAGGAGGGAAATCTATCAAGTTTTCTTTAAAAGTGAGTTTTACAGATACTTTTTAATATAAGAGTTTATATTTTAAAGAGCATTTTACCTGCCCACAATGATAGCCAGTAGCTTCTGCACTGGTTTAAGAATCATCAACAAGAGAGGAACCGGAGCAGCTTGAAACCGTGGAGAAGTATGGAAACTCCTGATGTCTCTTGTGGGTAAACAGTTTAGAGGATGCACCACTGAAAGGGCAGGAACTACTAGAACGTCTTTCATCAGTAGCTGTCTTGAAAAAGAGTTATTCCATGCACTACATTTTTGGGTTATCATCCAAATTTCCTTACTTCTGGTGCTCAAGAGGCAGCCTGTTCTTTTGTTATTAAGAGTCCTACAGAAATGAAAGTTTTCAGGCAAAAATGTCCATCTATCACCCTGATTTACCCCCAGGCCCAGAGACTTATTTACTATATTGTTAATTTTCACTTGATGACAGTCCAGTGAGGTTACAGCTTGTGTGTTACATTTTCTCCAGCTGGTCAGTAAATTAACTCGTAAGAAAACACAGTTTCTAGCAGCAAACTGCAGTCCACAGATGAAGCTCATCTTTGTTTTCCTTGATTATCTGGAACACAAAATATAAACTATAAATATCTAAGCAAAATACTTATTACCAAACTGGGGATATAACACTTATGAAAAAGGTATTCTTCCTTTAACACATCTCCGACTAAATTACCTTGGGTTTCAACTCACTGCCCCCTGCAGCAACTCCTCTTAACAATAAAAACCAAAGAGGTTTTACTAACTTTTAACTCAACAACATGTACTTTCAAAATTTGGATTTTTTTCTTCGTTTCATTTTTTAATTTTAGTTGGGGGAGTCTATTTTTAACAGCTAAATTAGTTGGGGAATAAGAAATGGATTAAACAATAACAGCACTAAGTTTCAGCAATTGGCAGTAATGGGGGGAAAGAGGATTTAATGGAAAAGTAAAGTCTAACATAAAATGCATTTTTAAATATACAGATTTGTGGGACTTCCCTGGTGGTCCAGGGGTAAAGAATCCACCTTACAATGCAGGGGAAGCAGGTTAGATCCCTGCTCCATGAACTAAGATCCCACATGCCGTGGGGTAACTAAGCCCGCACGCCACAACTACGGAGCTCGTGTGTCTCAACTAGAGCCCACTGTGCCACAATTACAGAGCCCATGTGCCCTGGAGCCCATGCACCACAACTAGAGAGAGAAAACCCACATGCCACAACTAGAGAACCCCACACACTGCAACAAACGATCCTGCACACCTCAACAAAGACCCTGTATGCCGCAACTAAGACCTGAGGCAGCCAAAAAAATAAATTAAATAAATAAATTTTTAAAAAAACCTAAAAAAAAATATGCAAAAATAAATAAATAAAATACAAATTTATTCCTTTCAAATATAATACTGGCACTTCTGATTCAGGTCAATACAGAGTAAAAGGGACTTATCCTGTCACTGAAAATAACTAAAAAAACAGAATATGTAGACCTAAATAGACATTTTTCCAAAGAAGGCACACAGATGGCCAACAGGCACATGAAAAGATGCTTGACATCGCTAATCATTAGAGAAATGCAAATCAAAACCACAATGAGGTATCACCTCACACTGGTCAGAATGGCCATCACCAAAAAGTCTACAAATAATAAATGCTGGAGAGGGTGTGGAGAAAAGGGAACCCTCCTACACTGTTGGTGGGAATGTAAATTGATACAGCCACTATGGGAGACAGTATGGAGCTTCCTTAAACTAACAGAGCTACCATATGATCCAGCAATCCCACTCCTTGGTACATATTCATAAAGGACGAAAACCCTAATTCAAAAAGCTACATGCACCCCAATGTTCATAGCAGCAGTATTTGCAACAGCCAAGCCATGGAAACAACCCAAGTGTCCATCAACACAATGTAATACTACTCAGCCATAAAACAGAATGAAATACTGCCATTTGCAGCAAGATGCATGGACCCAGAGAATATTATACTTAGTGAAATAATTCAAATATTATATAATATCATGTATATTTAGAATCCAAAAAAATAATACAAATGAGTCTATATACAAAACAGAAATAAATTCACAGACATAGGAAACAAACTTATGGTTGTTGGGGAAAGGGAGGGGGGAGGGATAAATTAGGAGTATGGGATTAACAGTTACAAACTGCCATACATAAAACAGATAAGCAACAAGGACTTTCTGTATAGCGCAAGGAATTATATTCAACATCTTGTAATAACCTATAATGGAAAATAATCTGAAATATATATACACACACACACAACTGAATCACTTTGCTGTACACCTAAAACTAACACAATATTGTAAATCAACTATACTTCAATTAAAAAAAAAAAACAGACACAATAAGTAAAACAATGGTTTCAACATACTGAACATCAGGCAACGAAGAATAGTCATCCCTGAGAAATGGGAAACAAATTAGGCGAGCCCTACAACTGCCCCAGCCTTCTGCCTGGAGAGAGTTTCTCGGCCACTTTGCAAAGAGGGGAAACCTAGAGCAGCCCAATGGTCCTCCTAAATTAAAGAGATGAAGCTGGGAATTCAAGGATATTAAACTAGTTATACATATTGCATGTTTAAGAAGTTAAAGGAAAGTTTGGGCATGTTATGTAGAGACATGGAATATATTTTTTCAAAAGATGGACACTGAATTTCTAGATTTGAAAACTATAATGTCTTAGATAAAAATTACACTGGATGAGACTAACACCAAATTAGACATTGTATAAATAAAGACATGAATTGACGTATCAATAAAAAACTATCCAAAATGAAATGCAGAGAGAGAAAACAGACTTTAAGAAATGCATACAGCATCACTGAGGTGTGGGATAACTCAAGTGACCTGATATATGTGTAAATGGAGTCCCTGAAAAGTGGAGAGGGATAGTAGACAGAAAAAAAAAAAACTTGAAAAAATAATGACCAAAATTTTCCAAATTTGATGAAAACTGTAAACCCACAAATCCAAGAAGTTTAACAAACCACACACACAGGCAACACAAAAAAAACTACTTTAGGGTATATCAAATTTCTTAAAACCAATGAAAGAGAAAATCTTAAATTTGACACCTTGGATTAAATGGATACATTCCTTGAAAAATACAAACTACCAGAGCTCACTCAAGAAGAAATAAACAAACTGAAGAGCCCTATACCCAATTTTTAAATTGAATTTATAGTTAAAAACCTTCCCACGAAGAAAGCTCCAGAACCAAAAGGCTTCACTGGGGAGTTCTACCAAACATTTAAAGAAGAAATAATAATAATTCTATATAAACTCTTCCAAGAAATTAAAAAGGAATAGTTTCCAACTCCTTCCCTAAGACCAGCACTACCCTGATACCAAAGACAGAAAAAAAAAAAATTACAAGAAGACTACAGAATAATATCCCTCATGAACATAGATACAAAAATTCTTAATATTTCAGGAAATCTAATTCAAAAATATATTAAAAAGACAATACCTCATGACCAAGTGAGGTTTGTCTCAGGAATGCAAGGTTGAATAAAAATTCAAAAATCAATCAATGTAATTCACCCTAACTGAAGAAAGAAACACTACATGATCATCTCAAAACACACAGAAAAAGCAATGGATAAAATCCAACAACCAACCCTGATAAAAACTCAGTAACTAGGACATCTACAGGAACCTATAGGCAAAAGTATGTTTATTGGTGAAAGATTACACTTTCCTCCTCAGATCAGGAGCAAGGCAAAGATGTCTGCTCCCACCACTTCTATTCAACATTATACTGGAGATGCTAGCCAGTGCAACAGAATTAAATAAACAGATACATAACTAACTAAATAAATGGCATCCAGATAATAAAGAAGTAAAATGATCTTTATTCCTAGACAACATGACTGTCTATCCAGGAAATCCAAAGAAATCTAGGGAAAAAACCTATTAGAATGAGTTTAAGGTGGCAGAATACAAGAGCAATACACAAAAACACTAGCAAGTGAGAAGCCAGACTCATACACAGGAAAAAAAATACACGGTAAAGAACACTACTCTCTCTCCAAAACTCATGCTCTATGATTTCAGCTTTATAATATAAACTGGTTTATATATATATAAACTAACTATAACAATATATAGTTAGCAGACTAATTTATACTTATAGAGAAATCAGAGGTTGGAAAGGTAAAGAGGGGCAAGAGGAGGGATTACAAAGTTTGGGGGGGGCAACTAAAATGTTCACTATTGTGATTGTGTTGTTGGTTTCATAGATACACATGTAAGTCAAAACATGCACGGTTTAAATATGTCCAATTTATTGTATATCAACTATACATTAAGCTATTTTTTTAAAAGGTACTAAAAAGAGACAACCAAATGCAATGTGTGAACTCTGATTAGATCCTAATTTGAAAGAAAAAAATTTGTTTTAGAAGACAACTGGAACTATTGGGGTAATTTGAATATGAATTTGCTTTTAGGTTATTTTAGATGAGTATTGCTTATTTTCTTAGGCGATAAAGATGTGGTTATGTAGGTGAATATCTTATACCTGAAATGCTTGCTCAACTCTCTTTTCATGATGAATAAAGCTTTCAAATTTTATAATAAAAATACATTCAGACATACACACAGGACATAAAGGCAATACAGAAAAATGCTAACAATCTTTGTATCTAAGTGGTGGTTATGTATGTGCTCGTTAAATTTTTTTCAGTTTTTTTTCGTGTTTCAAATCTTCATAATAAAAGTTGCAGGGAAAAACACATAAATCTAACTCAGTCTAGGCTAATACAATATTATCTGGAAAGATGCTTCAGAACATCAATTTTCATAAATAGTATTATCTATACATGAAATTATTTGAAAATTACTCAAATTTTTTACATACTCAGTAATGCTTAAAACACACTAGTATATACAGATATAAGTAAATCTAAAGGAATACACACCAAACCATTTACAGTGGTTATTTGGGGTGGCAGGATGCTTGTAAGGGATTCGGTATTTCCATCTTATATATTTCTGTGCTGTTTAAACTTTTACAGGATATGTTATTACTTTTGTAAGCCCCAAATCAATAAAGGCAACTATATTTGTAATTACCATTGGTTTCCATGGGCTTCAATAAACTGCATATTGCAGACCAAGCCCCTCATAATACCACCTCCCACTGTTTCTCCAGGCACCTTCCCTACCCCTCCTTCACCCATTCCGAAGCTCCAGACACACTGATTTACTTACACCTCTCAGAAAAGAAAAGCTCTCATCTGTCTGTGCACATCTATTTACACTGCTTAGCTCTGTTCACATGTCAAGCAAACTCCTTCTCACAGCTAACAACTAACGTGAAATTTAAAGTATTCTACTGACACAGAAGTCAGCAAAAGCCCCAAACACTATATGTAGTACATATATAAGCAAAAACGCTACCATTTATATCACCTACAAGTGTCACTTGAAACAGAAATAGTGCCTGACATTTTGTAATCCCTGCTGTATCCTTAAGAAAGGGTAAAGAATGGGAGAAGAAAACTATACACTTTCAAAGATCCAATCACTAGACTACACAGAGCAGAAGAAAGAATCAGGGCTGACACATCCTCTTCAAAGAACTGTAGCAGGTCAACAAACATAGCTGGCAGACTTCCAGGATTACTAAATTAATAATGTGAGAAAACTAAACAATTTGGATTGTTAGCCTCTACGAACATTTCAGATCCTTAATTCTTTAAGTACCATCTCAGAATGAGCAAGTACAGCAGCTCACTGGCACTCACAGCTGAAGCCTGGAAGACAATTTTAACAACTCTTCTGAAAGTGACTATTTCTTCCCTAGTTTCTATGGAAACAGCTGTCAGATTGGCAAAAATAGAATATGTACTTTAAAATAATCATTCAAGCAAAGTACACACATGATGGAAGGCTTAAAAAAATAATAATAAATTGGAAGGCAACAGAGTTGGTTCTTAAGCTTCCAAATGCCAGGCTGCACCCCTTCACCACAGCTGAGAATGATGGACATGAACCCAAATCCTTTTCGTGAGGGTTACATGGCATTGGTCAGTCACTATAGTTGTTCAATCCCTGAATTCCCAATGAAGTATTTTCTTCTCCCTGGACTAAAATTTCTCATTGAGCACTGCATGGCACAACACGACTGTTGTTCCACTTTACGCAGGCAAGTAACATTATTTAAGGAGCACAAAAAGTGAATTTGTAGACAAGTCCATGAAGAAATTATTTAAATACCCTACAACTGTTGAGACAGGGAATTTCCTATTTTTCAGTGCGGGGTTTGGGAAGGAAAACTTTTACTTTCTCTGCTTTAAGAGGGACAGGTAAAAGAGATGGTTTGAGTCTCAAGATGCCAAAAGCGGCTGGAAGAGGTTTTCTACGGGTGAAGGTGTCACTGTGACGCACACGATACTGCGGTAAAAAGAACCACAACTTTTAAAAAAAGGGCCGCTAATGAGAAGGCTGGGAGGAGAGGGAGCTTATCTTCCCGGAAAATGCAGCCACCTGCCTATCTGCAACTCCCGCGCTGCCAAGGTAGCACCCTGGGGTCCCCGCAGTTCAACACCAGGACGGGATCAGGCGGGAAAAGGAGACTTTACTGCCACGTCCTCCTTTCCCACTCGCCCTCTCCCCCGACTCCACACGCCGCCCCCGCGCTTCACTCCAGCCCGGCTCCCCGTCGTCCCTCCTCCACCCCAGGCCTCGCCACCCCAACCCAACCGAGCCCCCAAGGGTCCCCGCTCCTAACCCCAGCGCCCCTCCAAGCTCCCTCCACCCCAACTCCCGTACTCTGCCCCCTCCCCTGGGCCCGGCCCACTCTTAACGGCCGTGCAAAGGAGTCCCCCACCAGGACAGACCCTAACTGTGGCGAAAGCGAAGGTTCCTCTGACCCGACCTACGCGCAAGCGTACGCCCCGCCAAAGAAGCCCAGCCTCTTCACTTCCTGCCCTCGCCTCGGACGTGGACGCCTTTGGCTCCGCCTACACCGGGTAGTCAATACACCCGCCCAGAGTCTTCCTCCCAGAGGGCCCCGATCCCATGTGAACTGTGGTGCTCTAGCGCCCCCGCGTGGCCGGAGGAGGGACGTGGCTGCAGGCAGAGCTGCTCGCCTGGAAACACCTTCACTTGCTCAGGTCTTGGAACCTGACTTGGGTCCCTCTAATGAGTGATCCAGGCAAGGCTGTGCCCGCTGTAGATTCTAAGTCAGTGCTGACCAAAAGGAAGGAGATTCGAGGGCTGCCAAAAAGCTAAGGTTTCTTGGTTCAGAAGTTGCACTGATAGAAGTAGTCTTTGGGTTGTGAAAACTCTGTTTTCACATGGCACATTCTAAGGAAGATGAAGAATAACCTGAAGCATCTGGAAGATAGTTGAAAATAGCTGTGGCTACAAAGTGATGTGTATCGTACACTTCATTCATTCCACCAAAAAGTATTTATTGGGCTCTAAGTGCCAGGGAAATAGAGAGCAAGACAGACCCTACTTTCATGGAGCTTATATCACAGTGAAGAATGAAACAACAAGCAAGTAAACAAGTAAATAAATAAGATATCAGATAGTGACATGATCCCATAATTTCAAAGTCAGTTTGTTATATTTATATTCTATGCACAATGAAGAACATCCTAAAGGATATAAACACTATTTTTAGGTATCACTTTTAGAGCGTTTTAAAGTAATTTTTTCTTTTATCTTGCTTGTCTATATTTTGTAATTTGCCTTTTGCTTTAAAGGAACTATGTTGGCATATCTCTGAGCACTGGTTCCCTAAAAACTGAAGGGGCAGTTCCCTGAATCTTCATGGGCTTATCTCCCACCCTCTGAAGTGCATGTTTCTTACCAAGGTTTCCAATATACTAGCCACCTCTTGCTCATCCTGCCTGATTAGCACAATGTCATCAATGAAACAGGTGTGACATTCTGTGGGTTGACCAGGTGGTCCAGATCCTGTACTATGATGGATCACAGAGCTGACACAACAGCTGTGATCAGGGCTATTACATGATTAGGTCTACAGTAGTTTGTAAGCCATCCTCCTGGTTTCTGAAGGGGCCAGAGAGGCAAACTAAATGGAAATATGACAGGGACGACCATCCTTTGGGTTGTTCATGGGCATTAACTCCACCATCATCCCCCGCTTCCCCTTGGATGAAATACAGGTTTTGATTTACTATCTTGACTTGATAGGGAGGGGACAGTTTCAGAGGCTTTCACTTGGTCTTCCCCACACGAGAACTCAAGGCCAAGGACCTAATGTGGGGCTTCCTTCAGCTTCCCAATATATATACTCCCAGTTATGCACTCAGAGTCTGGGGAAATGACCACTGGGTGGGTCTATGGGCCCAGGGACCCATTGTAAGCTGGATGTTATCCAGGACTCTGCTTATTACCTGACCCCTAGAAGTCCCCAGTCTTACAAAGAGGACTTGATAACACTTGGATTTCTGAGTAACAAGATCCTTTCAGACCCTGGGAAATGTCTGGGTATTCCTCTTTCCCCAATATATAGTTAGCTGAGAAAATGGTCATAGGCCATGGAGCAATCATTACTGTAAATACTTGTTTCAGTGTTTTAGGGTTCTTCTTCCTAGGGACCCAGCCACCTCTTTGGTCAATGGGTTCTGTGGTCTGGGTCTGAAAATTGACTCAGATGTGAGAATTAAGCAAAGAACATGACTTTTTATTGGGGTAACAACTCTGAGCCTCCTGTTCCTCCATTCTTTTTTTTTAATTTAATTTAATTTTATTTTATTGGCTGTGTTGGGTCTTTGTTGCTGTGCGCGGGCTTTCTCTGGTTGCGGTGAGTGGGGGCTACTCTTCCTTGTGATGTGCGGGCTTCTCATTGCAGTGGCTTCTCTTGTTGCAGAGCACGGGCTCTAGCTGCGTGGACTTCAGTAGTTGTGGCACGCGGGCTCAGTAGTTGTGGCACACGAGCTCTAGAGCGCAGGCTCAGTAATTGTGATGCACAGGCTTAGTTGCTCCGCGGCATGTGGGATCTTCCCGGGCCAGGGCTCGAACCCATGTCCCCTGCATTGGCAGGTGGATTCTTAACCACTGCACCACCAGAGAAGCCCTGTTCCTCCATTCCTGTGTCTTTCTGGTCGTAGATGTTAAGCAGAACCCAGTTGGCTGCCCATCTATTTTTTCCCCTAGGGACACCTTGTATTATTAAATACCTTCACAACCTCTGTGGATCAAGCCCCCTAAGGCTGCCCCCTTGACCTTGCCAGCTGTTATAGTAATTACAGCCCCCAGACTTCTGGTGGTTAAAGCCACTACCTGGCTTCTATTACTTCAGGATGCTATCATCCTCCTGGATATTATCAAGCCCAGCTCTGTGATTGCTTCTCTTACCATCATCCCTAGCTGGTACTCCTCTCATCAGTGCCTTCCTTGCTGTCTTTGTATACTATCTGTCTTTTGGGCCTCCAATGGAACATAATCCTCTGTCTGATCTTCTGGCTCCACAAAATAAATCATTCCAGCAAGCCCACTTCCCTTGGGCTTTTCTTTCCTTCTTCTAGAGTCTGCCAGAGCAATTCAGATGGCTTCCTCTCTGGAGATTTCCCTTGGATGAAGACACCTGCCTCATCCAAGAATATGCCTTCTCTCCAGGGACAGTGCACATCCAATGACTGGTTAATCTGGGGGGACAAAGGCCTGACCCTTTGATTTTAATTGAGGACAACCCTGCAGGGCCATCCCAGGTCTCCATGGGACTGGCAGAGAAGCCCCACTTCTTCTGTCCAGTCCTCTTTCCCTTCCTCTCCAGCAACTCTGCACACAAAGAATTCTTTCGGAATCTGTTTCTGGGGAACCCAACCTAAGGCAACTCAGTTTTCTCCAGAAGTAGAAGCTGCTTGGATACAGAAAGACGTTCAATCTCACCTCCTAAAGGAAGAACTGGAAACTGAATACTGAATTAAAGGAGAGACTAACTCTAAAGAATTATGAGGGATGAATTGTTTTAGCACCAGGCATAGACAGAAGCGCAACAGACAAGAGGACTCTGCTGATCTAGATTCGGGCTGAGAACCAGGTGAGATGAACACAGGATTTGATGAGGGTCACATATTTGATTGTCTGCAAGGCACGGGCAGTCTTGACTTAAAGTGGCCTTTCCTCTTTCTTGAATACGTGCTAGGCCTGACTGTTCCGGATGTTGGAGATGGCTGGCTCTGCATCTGAAATGCCCCCCCACATAGACAGTTGCTGCATCTTCATTTGTATATTCCACTCCAACAAAAATTAGCTTAGTATTTTCTTCATCCACATTTGACTTTTTTACTTTCCTCTCCTTTTTAAACTTCTTCTTCCCATATAGCATGAACAGGCAGGCCATTTCATTTTTTAAATTTATAACTTATAATTTTTTCTTTCTTTTTTTTTTTTTTGGCCGTGACGCGCGGCATACAGGATCCTAGTTCCCCAAGCAGGGATTGAACCTGTGCCACCTGCAGTGGAAGCAGGGAGTCTTACCACTGGACCACCAGCAAAGTCCCTTTTCTTTTTCTTTCTTTCTTTTTCTTTTGCCCAAATAGAATTGTCACACCAAATTCCAGTGTGTTATTTTTATAAATTGCCACGTGGATTGTCATTGCACTAGCTTGTTGACTGGTCTCTCTACCTCTGTCTCATTCCCCTTGTATAAACAGCAGCCAACCAGACCCACTTCCTGAAGCTGGGGGCCAAGAGGGTTCAGTATGGCTCAGCAAGCTCCAGGCTGGGCCCAAGAGGAAGCCACAGCTTGGACACGTCCTTGCTCACTCTCCAGAGGTTAGTTCTCCAGAGATCCCAGCTGACCACTTTTCTAAGAGTCAGTGCAAACTACTATTTCTTTACTGCACAAGTAAAATAACACCACAGAAAAGCAAAAAAAAAAAAAAAAAAAAGTACCCTTAACCCCACTGTTAACGTTTTGATACGTAACCTTCTTGAAAAGCAAAATTAAAATTACTTTAGGACTTCCCTGGTGGCGCAGTGGTTAGGAATCCACTTGCCAATGCAGGGGACGTGGGTTTGAACCCTGGTCCGGGAAGATCCCACATGCCACAGAGCAACTAAGACCGTGAGCCACAAGTACTGAGCCTACGCTCTGGAGCCCGCGTGCCTAGAGCCAGTGCTCCGCAACAAGAGAAGCCACCATGATGAGAAGCCCGCGCACTGCAATGAAGAGTAGCCCCCTCTCACCACAACTAGAGAAAGCCCGTGTGCAGCCAAAAATTGATAAATAAATAAAATAATTTAAAAAAAGAAGCAATGGGGCTTCCCTGGTGGCGCAGTGGTTGGGTGTCCGCCTGCCGATGCAGGGGATGCGGGTCCGTGCCCCGGTCCGGGAAGATCCCACAGGCCGCGGAGCAGCTGGGCCCGTGAGCCATGGCCGCTGAGCTGAGCCTGTGCGTCTGGAGCCTGTGCTCCCCAATGGGAGAGGCCACATCGGTAAGAGGCCCGCATAACGCAATAAAATTACTTTAAATACTTAAAACTTTGATAGGATAAAACATTTCTTACTGTTGTTTTAATGTGCATTCCTTTGATTCCTAACAATGTAAGCAATTTTTTATGCTTATCTGCTCTTTCGATTTCTTCTTTAGCAAATTGCCTGTTCATGCCTTAACCCGTTTTTCTATAAAAAACATTCATTTTTATCTTATCGACTGGTAAAAATATTTTATATATTTAAGAATTGTCTGTCGTTCACGTAGCAAACATTTCCCCTGCTTGACAGTTGCCTTTCAATTTTAATTCATGTCTGCATATATAAATAATTTTTAAAATTGTGGTATAGACAAATGTATCCATCTTTTCATTTTGGTTTTTGCCTTTGAGGTCATATTTATAGTCTGTCTTAATCCCAAAATTATGTATTTACCAATATTTTCCTCTAGTATCAATATTTAACGACTTTGTTCTT